GAAATTTAATATTCAATCATCAAATTGCTTTCATCGGCAAATTCGTTGCATTCAGGACGCGTATCACATAATAGAAAAATATCTACGTGCGTGTTGGTAGAGGTGCTGTATACTTTTGGAACGAGGTATTGTTTAAAGGTAAATGATTCGATTATCGGCCCACAACTCCAATCAACTTTCTCTTTGACTATCCAAGTCCCTTTTGCGCCATGGCTCAAAATAATTGAGAGACTCGATTCCTTGCTCCACAGTATCATGTATATAGTTTCTGGATAACACTTTTGGTACGATACACAATCTATTAAGTTTAACCGGTGAACGGAAAAAGATATTATTTCTGCAACAAGAATTCCATCTCTCCTTTTGATGGCGATTACTTCCTTTTTCCTGGGCTCAAAGTAACCAAGATACTCCGAAGAAAAAGTATTCAGTAGGTTATTTGGCATACTCGAGCATTTTATTCGCAATCCATCGTAGGTAGATTTTAAAGCTGAAGCGGCCCAGAAAATCCATTCGACTTTATTAGTACCTAGGAATGGTGTAACAACATTGGATATTGTGGGATGCGGAACATGAAAATCGTTCACCAATTCGCCGGTTAAACAGCTCACAAGAACAGGTGACGACTTCCTTTCAAAAAGAAGAAGAATATAAGAATTATCGATATAATAAACCAATTTTACGCAAAGACTGCGCAACGTGCCGGCACCAATTTTCTGTTGACTAACAAGTTGAGCTTCAGCGTCTACTGAAAATTGATAAATATTGTAAAAAAATAAAGAAGATTCCACAAAAATCACACGCCCGTCCAGATTAGAAAAGTATGACCGATCTCGACGTTGGTTAAACTCTAAAAATTTGCTGCCACAAACTTCTGCATCAGCTCGCCATTTTTTTTGCCTTGAGGCCTTCTTGAGTTGCTTTTTGAATTGAACACAAGTTGTTTCAAAAAAAGCGTCCAAACAACCAGCATCAGCTATTTGATCATAATTATCAAAAGTCATTTTTTCGATTTGTTTCTGCCATTCAAGGCAATTGTCAATTACTTTCGAAGTTTCTTTAAATTTTTCCACCATTGCACTTTCTGAATTTTGCAACAAACCTCTTAAATCTTTCTGCAAGAAAACTATTTTCATAATGTGATCTTCGATTTCTTTCTCAGAACTTTCCAAGTCAATTAGATTACTTCGAATTTCGCGAACAACATCAGTTTTCATTTCGTCGACTTTCTTTTCTACATAATCAAGCAGTTTTTTAATATCCTCTTTTTGACTAGTCATTTTTGCAGATACCATCTCTTTTTTCGCTCGCGCCGGTTTTTCATTCAACTCCCATTGTGTCAAAGCTTCAAAGACTTTCGCTCGGATTTCATCGGCCTTTTCTTTCAGAGGCTCAAATTTATGCTCGCTGTGGACTCTGAGACACTTTGTACAACAAACTTTTTCACAAGTTATACAGAATTCAGAACACAGTTGAAAATGTTCTTTGCAGACTGATGGTTCGAATCCTCTACTGTCAGTAAATTTGTGGTTTTTCTTGATATGTAATTTGATACAGCCATCGCATAGAAGTAGCAATGGTTGGTCCGGATCGGTTACTTTATCTGAACAAGTGACACATTTTAAGATGCTCTCGAAAGGAACGACGTCGTCGCAATTTGTACACGTTGACTCAGCGTCCTTAGTGGCCATTTTGCTGAACTATTTTCATTATGATCTGAAATCAAAATTTCGATCCCAGTTAAATTAAAACCACTCGGTAGGGGCTATTCTCATGGGCGAAGGACCGAAAAGAATGAATTGAACCATTTTCTTGCTTCTTTTATAACGAAACCCTTGAAATACATATAATTTGTTCCAATTCGCCGACACAGCCAGTGCGACTATTTGAAAATTTTGCGTGTTTCAGCCGTTTTTATATTCGGCCAATCCCTGGAAATGTTCACTTTCTTACGGATTTTCACGCTTTCTTTCCAAATTATAGAATACTAAAAACTGATTGGCTGATTTTTATTTTCACCAATTCGGTCCTTCGCCTATGAGGGATTCCAACCCACTCAGTTATTGAGAGCTGAGCATTTAATAACAAAAGATGTTGCCTAAAACAACACAGGCAGGCAATTAACTACACAGTCAGGTGAAAAAAGTTCAAAACACAACGAAACCGGAAAAAAAGCCTGATTTAAAAAAGTAAACTAATTTTCTGCCAATAAAAAACTTGAGCATATTATCTGAGATTAAGCATTACTTTTTACACAAGACAAAATTGGTGGTAAAAATGGAACGATAGTACAACACTACGCTCGCAAGCTGTGTTATTTGACAAATCCTTCATTATAATAATACTATCAGAGACACGTATACTATAAAAATTATACAGAGGTGAAGCAGAGCTTCGCGCCACTTGTAAAATATCTTAAACATAGCATGGCAAGCAATTGACAAAAAATGAAGAGAGCCACTAAATTCAACTAAATGAAATAAAACATTGGAAAAAAATCAGATCTCTGGAAAATTATCACAATTCGATTTAAATGAATTTATAATGCCAACGTAACATTAGCACAGAAAACAGCTGAAAAAACTAGGCTAGAAGCTCATTGATGTGATAAAAACTGATGCCATTATTCGACTTCGGCTGTAAAAAATGAACCAAATCCTTTTACAATTATTATTTTGTTTAAGATACATTTTGTCCTCCAAACAGGGCAATAGAAGACAACTAAGCCAACATAATGTAAATCAAAATTTAATAACCGGAATACACTTAATAATTGAAAAAAAAAACGCGAAAATCAAAAATTTTACAAAAACGGAGTCGGTAAACCTCGAAACATCATAAAAACGAATTTCGAATAAAGAGGTATTTGAAATGCAAACATGCTCATAAGATCTCTATTGGCAAAAAGGTCCGTTCAGCCGAGATGAGTCGTACGAAAAGCTGTTACGGGAAAAACTCAAGTACCCAATTTCTCGCCAAGCACCAAAACTTTTTGAGCATTTCATCATTATTTTGCTACAATGGCTATAAAAACTGAGAAAAACTTTATGGGAAAAAAATACAATAAAAAACTTTTTTTCTGTTTCAGTACTTGAGGAATGTCAAACTTTGGGAAGCAGGCGACAAGAAAGAAAAAAATGAAAGCGGCACACAAAAAAAATGAAGAAAAACTATGTAAGTGGAAAAGCTGAAAACCATTACTTTTTGTTAATGAAAGAATATCAATAAAATGAAATGAAAAATCAACTTCGGCTCACTTTTTCGCTAGTAAGTACAAATTGATCAGAGCTATAACGAGCCAATTTTATGATTTTCCATCAGGCTTCGACGGTAAATGGATCTCAATTCAACACAAAGACGCAGCACTACTTTGCACCAATTAACAAACATATCGCACAAACGGTACCGCATAAACATATCATGACAACCCAGCAAAAAAAATACGACTGAAGCCGAAAAAAAAACTTAGCCAACTGACAATTGTAAAAAAAGTAATGAACGCAAAGAAACAAAAAATGACTTGTTTATTTTAACTTTCGAAATTTAAGATTGATGCTTCTGTGATAAAATTGACCAAAACTGGATCATTAGATAAAACTATTATAACGCTGAGAAATGCGTGAGCAAATTAGAAAACTTTTTCCTGAAAAAAAACGCAAAAAGAAAATCACCAACACCTATATAAGAGCACTCACTACGATCATTACTTCAAATAATTGAACAACTCAACATCAATCAAAATTTTCATACGTTTGTCTCGAATGAAGTGCAATTTGAGGGCGCATGTCAAAAAACACAACCAACAGCCTTGATTTGCCATACGGAAAACATCAACCAGCGATAACTTGGCCAACAATACTTGGGTAGACACTGAAACGTTTTTTGAAACTCTTGATAACAGTATTTTAATGAAGGCCAAGCTTCACTGTGCAAACGCAAAAAACACGGCAGGGAAGCTTCAAAGATAAAAAATACAAAAATCGGTCGGAAAACAAAACAATATCTAACTTAGGGCAAAGCGAAGCAACAAAAAATGGCAAGGTAGCAAGCCGAAAAAAGTACAAAAACCACTAAAAAAATCGAATTAATTTTTTCATCGTTTGTCTTGACTGAATAACGTTTTTCTTGACTGATTATTTTCCAAAATTAAATTGGAGGAAGATGCTGAGAAACACAATTGCCAGAGTGTAGAGGACAATACTTGACTAGACGACCGTTGAGCAGAAAACAAATTTTGAGCTAGAAACACTTAAATTCCCAAATTTTATGCCGCCACCCACCTGAAGCCCAAATGAATTTTAAAATAATTTAATCAATCAAAGGACAATTACGAGGCAACAAAAACCGATAGAACATCAACCGAAACGATTTAAGCCTAAGAAATCATAAAGCGGAAAAAAACGAAACTTAATAAGAAGAGGAAATTAGAGTTGGTTTACATTTACTAAGAGTTAGTTCACAACAAACTATCGCTATAAAAAGCTGGCATACTCAGAAATTTCTGTTAGCCAGAGATTCTATCAAAAACAGATATGCTAATCACAAGTGTAACACACGAATTAACCAGTCACATCGTTCAACCCATCTCTAGCACATACCTCTAAGAATACGAGACGACTAGCTTCGCAACTCGTATAATACGTGAAAGTTCTAGACGCACAAAAACGGCATTGAGTCGCAAAAAAAGAGCTTCGCTCAACAAGATAACACAGTCTGGAATGTGGGGAAATAATACAAACGGACTATCCTCGACAGGACTGATAAGGCCTACTGATAGCTCCTCTGCGATTCGCAGGAACTACAATTATTATTATTATTATAATAACAACCAGCTAGCAATGAAATCGGATGATACCCATACAATTTAATTGAACACAAATTTGTATGAAATAGACTGGAAAAGTGACTTCATAAAATTGCATTTGTTTGAGTAAATAAACAATATCAAATTGGATGAAGATGCAGGGTCCTACAATTTCTGCTAGTGTCGATCGAAAAAACTAAGGTTCAGAATCTTTCAATTTAATCAATATGTTTTGGTCTATTAGGTTATTATGGTCTTTCAAACTAGCTCTCTTTGCTTTAACACTTTCGACCAAATTTTTGGACTTCAGTCTATCAAAATAAACAATCAAATCGTCAATTTTTCTTTCTTCTTGGGTAGTCTTACTCGTTTTCAGCTGGGCTAATGCTTTCACGTGAGGAACTAATTGGGCACAGTAATGATTGCGCATCGGGTGTAGTTCCCATAAGGCAGTATTTTGCACGTTGGCTAGGTCAGGGTCGTTGACGTAGGGACAGTACTTGCCACTTCCCACCGATTCCTCAGAAAGAAGTTGGTCTGTTTGACTGATTATTGTTTTGCTGGAACAAAAAAAAATAATTATGCCTGAATGGACATCTGGTAGCAAATCGGAGCCCAGACTGACTCTACTGTCTTTTGAAATATTAAAAGCTATTTTTGGCTAAACAATGTCGGATGAATCCAAGTCATCGAAATTTCAAGCCACCTCGACGCTCGCAAAATTTCAAGATTTGCATCTTGTTCCAAATTATAATTGAATTTTTTTATTTAGTATTGAGGAACTAGTTGGAACAGTTTTCTCCAATTTAGAATGGTTTTCAGCTCGCTAACAAAAATTAAAAAACGTCTGATTTCAAAAACTGAAAACAGAACCATACTTAAATTGCATATGTAGATATTTCGATCCACTCGTACATCACTAACATAGCATGGCATGCTAGCCGAAAGAAAAATTAGACAAGGGCAACGTAGTCGGAAAAATTGTTCGGAAAGGTCCATCATATTAGCATACTGTTGACTCGAAGTTCATTTCTAGGAAAACATGTCAAGAAAGACTATTGCTTCTGGCAATACAAAAGCATTCAAATTTTAAGAATCGGTAATTAAGCCGACTAAATAATTTGTTTGACTAGTTAACATCAAAAAAGTACGATCCGGTTTATTAACGCTTGCTAATTGCAAGCGTAATATAGCCAATTGACTTGCGCATCGTAGGTAGTTCAAGCCTGTAGTTCCGATGAAATGGTAATTTACCCAAATCCCTTAATGACAAGGAAGAAAATATCTGTTCTTCACAAATAAAATAGGTAGTGTAAAAACGTTGGTTAGCGTTGGAAATTTGGCCTACTCACTTGATAGTATTAAACATCCTGATTGCACTCTTATTATCAACACTCAACATCACAGTGCAGAGTCTCTTGGAGAGAGCCAACATCCTCACAGCTCGCATGTCCTTCTTCCTCTCCCTCAACACTATCTCTTCAATCGTGTTGAGAGACTGCGTGAAGTCTGATTTGTTCACCTGCGAGAGGGCTAAAAGGGACTCGTAGAGGTAGGAGTAGAACTGCTGCAGATCCACATTCACCAACTCCATGTCACATCCACTCATCAATCTAAACGCACAAACAGTTTAAATAAGTAAGACTTTTTACTGACCCCCTCCCCTGCTTTGCCCTCCTTCTTTTAAGTTAACTTCACAGGTCAACCAAAAGATAACTCTCAACACTTTTTCATATATTCCATCTTAATAACACGCATTTAGCCATGAAACCGTGTAAAACTACTATAAAAAAAATGAAAATTAGCAAAACAAAGTGTTTAATAGTGCCAAAAATTATTTGAAAATGACTTTTAAAGGAGCAGAGCAAAATAGAAACTCACTCTCTGACGAGAAAAAGCAGCAAAAACTAACTTGGTTAACAATGAGTAAAAAATGCCAATACTAGACTGACTGACCTGAATACAGATAGAACACAGTGCAGCCTCTGCTTATAGTTTAGGTCGAGTCTCTTCATGATGTCCTTGATGAGCACTAACAGGTCATCGTAGAACTCCACCCCGATCAGGTGTCCCAGTTTAGCCACACCCTCCAATACCACCTCCAGGTTCTTCGAATTAGTCACCCTCTTCAGGACCCTGAGAAAACGTCAAAAGCATGCCAGCATATTCAGTATACTGTTCTGAGCACAAATTTGATGAAAAAGAACCCACAATACCATCAGTTTCAAATATTTTGATTCAATGAGATTTTGATTTTTAAAAAAAGTATCGCAGCAGATATAGAACAGAACAATAAGTCAAAGATCGACTCCAGCTTGAATCGATCCTTGAAAAGCGTTCAACCTTAATCTACAATTTACCATCTACAAATATCACTTTACTTTAAATGCCTGATTTTTCTGAAGATAAATTCAGGTAGTATTGCAATAAATGGTACCGCCAGTTACCAAATTTTAATTCTTTGATTTATATTTTCGACACATAAATTTTTTACCTGAAGTAGCATGCGAAGACGAGTCCGATAATCTTGCCATGGACAAAATTGATGCGATCCTTGTTCTCTTTCAAATTCAGCTCGTCAAGTTCTCGCACCCACTTCTCTTCTATCTTGGACGCCTTTTTCCTCAAATTCGACTGGAGCTTCGCTAAAATAATTCGAATTTCAAAACTATCAAAAATAGATGAAAACAGAGAACTTTACAGAGAACTGTTTAAAACCAGTAGCAAAAAAACCCTATTCTTTTATATCAGCAGCACCGTACTTAGTAGACAAATTTTGGAAATTGCATTCAATTCCCTTTTAGGTTTGAGATTTTTTGTATTTATCTATCAAAAATTATAATGAAAATCCATAATAACTTACAATTTTTCTGCTTTCTCATTAGCTTTTCTCGCCTCTCCTTGACCTCAAACTCCCTTATCTTCTCATAATTCACCTCCGTAATCGGCAAAGATAGAAACGTCTTCAGACAACAACTGTGAACTGTAAACGCCTTACTGACCAAAATTTTATCCAAGTAAAACATAATCTCCAGAGATAATTGGCCCGTTCTGTCGTTTTCAAACACTTGCGAAATTGATGAACTGCCTATTTCGGCCAACTCTTTATGAGATGACGTTGAAAACGTACACACCATCCTGACCAAATTGGTCCGATAATTGAAATGTGAAATATTCGTAAGCAAAGAGCCAGTACACTGAGCTACTATTGGCCGCAATATTTTAGACTGTTTTCTCAAGAAATCGAGAGAAAACACAACTGAATCTTTTCCTTTAATAGCATTTTGCTTTTTTACACCGAGCGGACAAGTTCCTTTCAGAATACATTCCATGTGCTTTAAATATGACTGATAATCCCGTAACATAAGCTCTTCGAAAGTTCGTAATTTTTTCACTTCTTTCTTAACTCGTACCTTTTTCTCGTCTGAAGTAAGTTCTCGTATTTTATATCCCGGAACTACATCTTTAATTACTTCGCAAATGGAGAGCAACAATAGCTTCATCAGAATTGAACTTTTCCGGATTTTGGGTCGGTTAAGAAGTGAGACTAAATCAGTCAGCTGTTTGATGTTCGTTTCTGGATCCTCGCATATATTTTGGCACAGACATGCAATTTTCACTTTGGTTTCTGCTACAAACTGAGCATGTGAGATGAATTCCTTAATGCCGTTTTTACCTACAGAAACAGGAGAAAAAGTTACGCTAGAGTATCATATTAAGACCATTTATTTAGAAACAAAAACACCAAAGTTTGTGATTTCCAGCTCTTTTCGGACTGTTATCGTAACCCAGTCTTTACCAGAGACGAAAAGCAGAGCTTCACTTCCGATACATCTCAAACATAGAAAAAGACGCCGAGGCCACAAAGTCGGAAAAATCATTAAAAAAAACTATACCAACAAAAATTTCGTACGTTTGTCTCGAATGTTCAATTTGAGGAATATATTCCAAAAAATCATAGACAGCGTCAAATTAGCATTCAGAAAAGGTTATCGAACATCACCTACGCCGAGAAGCGTGCGTAGACGATAGCTGAACCGAAAACAAAATTACTATAGAAACTTAGAGCTATGGAGCTTTGCAGCGCTATGAAGGACTTTCCCCCTGAAACACAAAAAATTACAGAATTTGCTCACGCAATAAATAGTGACCAGTCGAAAAAAAACACTGAGCAAAAAAAATAAAAAATGAAGAAAAAAATTATACAAAATCAGAGGACGCAAATTACAGGAACGAATCAAAACGCCTTTCATTTCCAGCAAAACTTGCTTTAACCAAATGAAAATGTCATGACTGGGAAACTAAGCAGAAAGAAAAAGCAGACAAACAAAATTCCTATAATCGAAATTCCCCAAGAAAAAAATCGCAAAAACCGTTATCTTTGTTGCCTCAAGTATGGACGATACATCCTCATTATACAGGTCAACTAGTAGGTCAAACTTGATACACAGAGGCAAAGAGGAACTTTTTAACCCTTTGGGATGTAACACAAACACATCATTAAGAATTCACAGACAGAAAATGAAGCGGAAACTACAGAAATTCGGAAAACTTCTGGAATGACGATTTTGACGAAACTATGTCAAGGAACACAACCACCGCTTTAAACATACATTCATAATCATTAACCGAGCGGTCACTAAGCCAAAAAATACTTTAGTAGACACCAGGTGAACCGAAATCAAAATGAAGTCAGAAAAAAATTGGAATTTGAAGTTTTTATGGCCCCTTCTTTGAAGCAAACTAAAGCATAACAATTTTTTTGGCTATTTAAACGACCCAAAATTATGTAACTAAGCCAATCAGTCGAACCCATAGAAAATGAAAGACAATTACACCAAATCAGAGTGGGTATACTTACCAACTACAGAACGACGGTCAATTATAATTAAAATTGTTAAAATAAGAAAATATTGAGCAGACAAACGATAAACCAACAAACCATGTTTTTCAAAAAATTTATTTCCGCTCGTCGAAAAAACAAGGTCCTGCTGGGACTCAACCCTAGCCGTTATGATCCGAAGACGCGTGCTTTACTTCTAGACCAAGTAAGAGGGTCTCATTAATGTTGCGCTTCCATAATAAAGCAACGTCAGTTTATTACACAATTAAAAAAATTGTCCTCAAAGGTACACATATATACAAACGTAGATACAAGGTGAAAAAGAAAACACGGTCCAACTTGCACTCATGAAAAACCTGTATGAAAAATTGTTTACAGGAAAAAAGTCTTCTTAACGAATACAAGTCACTTGCTCTCGCGAGTGAAGTAATCTTAAAGTAAGCTAAACAAGTAATTCAGTGAGTTTGTTAAATAAGTAGTTATTACACCAAAAAAGTCTTTCGTTTTGATTACGAAGCGTAATCATTCGCCCATATGAACAGCTAAAAACACCATGAAGTAGAATTTCTGTAGCCTTGAAGACAAAATTACTGAAGAATCACAAATCTTAAGATACATTAACTTGAAAAGTTTTCCCATATCACCCTATTTTCGCAAATTCAAGCTTCTCAAAATTATATTTGTCACAAAAAGTTAGATAAGGGTAAAAGTATATACAAACAGACCCCTTCTATGCGCGGCAGATCCCCCTTCAATATCTTCATTTTGCGCATCTTCATCATCAACATCTTCACTATCTTCATCCTCCTCTGCGCCACTCATAACTTCAGCATCACTCACTTCAACATCATTCACCTCCATGTAATCATCAGGCAGATCCGCAACGTCAAAATCGTCGCCGACATCTTCTTGTGGAACAACTTTATCGTCAAATTTAACTGGCAATTTAGCCACTTTTTTGTTATTTTCGAATACCGATTTATCTACATTTCTAAATGAGCCCTTATGCAACTTCTCGTATGCTTCACCTTCGCTTGCGTCTTCTGCTTCGTCGGCTGAAATTCCCATTTCTTCGTAGAATAGTCGCTGCGCTTCGACATCTTCGTTGTCAGCTTTGCGAGATTCGATGGCATGATCTATTTTGTTAAACTTTGATGTCGATTTTTTAGATTTGAGGTCACGTAGGTGTGATTTGTCAAGTGCTTTGCGGACTTTAGCTGACCGTTTGGACAGTTTGAGGACGCGCTTGGCGCCAGCATCTGGAAATTTGATTCCCATTCTCAAAAATAAAATCTGGAAAAAGCACACAACTGAGTTCATCACTAACAATTCAGCTCTCAAGTCCAGGATATGGCCATCCTCTGGTTCTACCTCTGATACATTTTCGCTTTCATAGCAAAAACGAAACATTAAGACTGTCTATAACCGAAGATCTTACAAAAAAAAACTTTTTCATTCGGCAATTCGAAAAGCAACTTGGAGACAACTGCAGCAAAAATTTTGGCATAAAAATTCATATCTCAATTATCTTCCTAGGTTTTTTAATAGATAAACATTAAAATATCATAAAAAAATGAGAGGCTTTTTTGAGATTCAAAGATTAAATTTATCTTGTTAAAGCTCTTAAAAATTCAAAAATCTTTTATGATTCAAACTTGTTTCGGCAAATTAGTCAATTTTTTTCACCGGCACAGGTTCATTTTTTTAGTCCACTTGGATATCTAAATACTAAGTGAAATTTGAGCGTGATCAAACTTTTTCCTGAAAAATTATAGAGTAATCAACACGATCTTTATAAGTGTTTTTGCTATTTTCATAGAACCTTATGCTATTTCATAGAAACTTAAAAACAAATTTGTTCCTGCAACTTAAAAGAAACAGAAAACAGACTGTCGAATATGCCTAAGTTCTATTTTTCCTTTCACGTCTTCTTATCAGACCACACAGAAAAACTACACTAATTTAAAACACTATTTTTATGAATTTTTTAAAGACTATGGTGGTAACATTGTGTGCTACTTTCTCAGTAACCGGCTTTTTTTATTTTGTTTTCAACGCAAAATCAAGTATCAAAAAAATCATCGGAATTTGTCGATTGGTATATCATAATAAAGCCACCTTTCAGTCGTGTTTCGAACGACCTTGAAAAACTTTGAAAAAATTTTCCCAATGTCGACAAAAAAGCTTAATTTGTTGTTCAGCCAAAAACGTTACCGCAATTAATCATTGTAATGGGTGAAGTATTTTGTCATATGAAAGCCCTGAACGACATTTAAAAAACTTCAGAAGCTTTCGCAGTGTCGAGAAAAACCGGTTGGAAATTTTTGAGTTTGTCAAAATTTGAGCAAGTGAAGCAAGCGAGCAGACTTATTAAAGCCAGATGAGCCATGAAACTTGCTTAACTCCGGTAAAAATGTTTTTCGAAAGGTTCTTAAGGCTATATTGAGAATGAAAAACTTCACAAAATTTCAAAAAAAAATTCTGCACAAAAACTAGAAATTTATTTTGATTTTTTTCTTGTAACTTAGTAGTATTGTAATCCGCCGCGTGTCCTTAGGGGGGGGGGGTATTTTCGACGGTAGGGGTCTTTGGGGTCCTACCAAAAGTAGGGTCCAAAAGGACCCATCTTTTTTAAAGACCCCAAAGTACCCTGCCCGAAATAAAAAGACCCCTCTCTAAGGACACCCGACAGACAAAATACTTTGGTATTTATTTTCGCGCGGTGGTTAAATTTAATCCCTTCCAAACTTTCCCACCACTAAATAAGTATGGGTATATCCGGCTGCGGTTTTTTCGCTTATTTTTATCTAAAAGCTAATCCTTTTCGTTCATATAAATATGAGTTTACATAAAGTACCATTCATATTTCCTTTTAAAAAATTTTGGTAATTATTGTTCGTTTCTCTTTCTTATTTTATTTTCAAACTTATTTCCAAGTCTCCCTTAATTTCGACTTGCACCATTTTGATTCTTTTAGCCTTACTATTAGCTTACTTTGGGAAACTTCGCTCCTGCTTCAATCCTTCGCTCCTGCTTCAAGGGTAAGTTGCAATTACCAGTCTCTTTTGCGCCGGTCTATTTAACTTAAAACAATGTTTGCTGAATGTTTTATATTTACAAATGTACAGCCGTAATTCCAAGTAACAAGGCAATTTGTCCGACATTTTCAAGTGAAAAATTTTATTGATCAACTTTATCAAGTTTTCTCCTTTTTTTCTGACTAGAACGAACAGACGCTTCTGTTAGAATGAATGGATTATTGATAGGCGGAGGGTCTCTTGAACTGCTAGCTGCGCTTTCTTCTTGAAGCTCTTCCTCCGTATAGCTTTCTTGAAGAAAGCCCCAATCTGGGACCCGGAATTCCGGCGATTGCCAGCTTTCGCTGTTTTCGCTGCTATAAGTCGGGGTATTTGTCAACTGTGAGTTTGCCCACTCGCTTTCTTCCGCAATGGCCTCGAAGAACACATTTTCTTCTGTAGACCTGTGTCCAAAGGGCAATGTAGCTATCCCGTCGAATAGTAAGAACCGCTTACTATCGAAGGGTGAAAGGGCAATTCGGTTCTGCGCTATGGTTATGTTGGTATGGGCTTTCGATTTTATTGAGTAGTTGTATATACGAAGGGTTTTCCACTCAGTAATGTTTCCCTGAACCTCTGGTGTGTAAGTTGCTACTGGGAGTGTTGTACTACTCCTTTTGCACTCCTTTTGCTAGTTGAATCTAAATAAAGAACAAAGATTAGCCCATAAACATATTTTAGCTTTGTAAGACCAGTTCTAGTATTAATAACGAAAACGGTTCCCAAATTTGAATATTTTGAAGACTCAATATCTAATAACATTCCAATTTTTTCAATTCCAAAAAGTTTAAATATCTTAATTCATTCCAAATCATAAAAATTCCAAATCGTGTCATTATCAAAAAATCATTCCATGTCAAAATTTTAAATTTGTTAACGTCAAAAGTTACAAAAGTGCGTTTGTGGTGAGTATTTGTTTAAAACATTTTAAATGATGAATGGTTCTTCATTTTAAGTTTTTAAATGAAGAATCAGAGCCTTTCAGGGCTAGTTATGTCTAATTAAATTGACAGGGATCAACAAAAGTTATTAATTTGGTCCCAACAAAATCCAAAACCCCAATGAAGGGAACCCTTAATGTAAAGAAATGGAGGGGACTTGGAGAGGTGCTTTTTTTAATACTAACCTGCATATTTCAACGAGTAGAGCTTTGGTTTCAACGCGATGAATTCTGCAATGATTTTTCCCGCCGCCTCGTCCTTAAATTTCAATACAACTTTCTTATTCACATTGCTGAATAAGAAGTGATCGCTTGGGTAGTTGGAAAAATCGAAACTATCGGTCAGTTTTTGCAGATCTGCGTATACGTCTTCGGTTTTTATCGCATAAATAAACGAATCTGTGTCACTGTATAGCAGTTCAAGGTTCATGCTTGCTTTCATTTGCCGATAATGAAAGTAAAACATGAATCTTTTCGACAAGTCCAAAATACTTGCACCAATTATCATGGGTTTGTCCCACAAAATACTCGTTACAGCAAAACAAACAGTAGCAACTTCCTCGTCGATTATCTGGAAGCTTTTCATCGTGTTCAAAGCTGTTTTTTGAAGCAATTCTCTTTCATTTCTAATAATTTCTAGTTTTTTGCGTCCTAGTTTTGATTCCATAGTTTTACCGAATGCTGAATTTACGATGAGCTTGTAAAAGTTCTCTTCAAATTTGTTGCGCGCTGACATTCTCAATTGAGTGTTTAAATCGACAAAGGGCTCCATCCATCTACCTTGACGAAATTTTAAGACCTTAATCAATTTGGTAACTCTTAAGCCTAGTTCTATGTAGAGTTTTAATGTGAGGTAGTGCAGAACGTAGCCTTCCTTTGGATCTAATGTTTGAACCAGTTTTGGTACCTTTGGTAGCGACGTGACCCCCATCTCCCCTAACATCTGTATTTGCTCATTACTTAGTTTATCCGTGCCGATAACTTCACGTGAGGGGGCTAGAGGGTAGTCTGCAAAGTAATCTTGAAGTTCTTCAGGTATACTGAGATCCACTTCCAAAATGTATCCCCACTCAGATTTATCGTCGGTTTGCAAAATAAATTCGAGACTTTCCTCAACTATTGAGAAATCTTTGATGGGAAGGGGACAGTGTTTCATAATACCCCCGTATAAATTGTTAGCGTCTATATTCAATAGATAGCTAGAGGGCTCTTCAGGATTGTAGTCTTCGAGGTATTTGTTGTTGGCTTTAAAAAAACGGCGTGCATATATCGATGACATCCCTCCCCGTATCATTTTTTGAACCATGTTCAAATGCTCCCTTTCAGTAAGTAACTTGAGGTCTGCATTGCAGACTTTTAAGAATGCATCGCCCGAGAGGTTACTAGCCGTGAAGTAGCATGCACAATCTAATCCGTACGTTTCGTAACAAACTTCACGAAAGGCTTCGAATACTGAAGCGAGTAGTAGTACGTCCGTTGCTAGGTATACATCATGGTACTCGCCTAGTGATGCGCATTTCATTTCGGCGAAAACTTTAATGGCATGGTTGTACTGATTTTTCGAAACACTTATTTCCCCTCCCTGTAAAGTGTTGCTCCACATTTTTCTAGGTGGCAGTCGGGTTTCTCGAAACTTTTCAAAACTACTAAAGTATGAATACGGGTAGAAACCTTTTTGTTTTAGCAATGCTATCTGTTCTGATGAGTAACCAAGTTCTTCAAAGTAATTTTCCAGTAGGAAAAACTTTTCTTCCGGCAAGTATTCGACGAGTTTTGAAAGGGGGGACAGCATGAACTTATAGGAGTCTATGAAACGTAGATTTTCATACACTTTTTTGAGTTTTCCTTTTTATCGGTGTATGATTTGATATAAACCGACATAGTGAGTGATATATACTTCTCCTCAGTGGAAGGGATCACTGAGTAAGTGTTTTCGGGGTTACTGTTTGAGAGCGCTTTTATAATGAAATGCAGATCATAGTTTGACAAGTTATGCGCTATTACGGGTATATAGTTCGCCGTTTTTCGATTGATATTGCATTCGTTATGCGCCCACCCCAAGAACTTGTTGGTATAGTGACAGTGATCAAGTACAACTTGGTCATTGTCAGCAAATTCTGTTTCACATATCCAACAAGTGTGCGCTTCTTCACGCGTGCAACTTGGTGTGCCAGTGAACGTGTAATATTTTCGTTTTTCGAGGTATATTTGTTTTGCCAAAGATTCGAGCGAGGCGATCAATTCCTTCATAACATTTTCTCCTCTCTTCAGTTCAAACTTTAAAACTTCACGCTTCCCAAATTCAACAACGGCCAGAGCGTAACCGCATGGTTGATGAATCTCTAGTGTTTGGGTGCTAGATTTTTCGGGGTCGGGTTGCGGTCCGTATACGGGTAGTAGTAGCGATTCGAGGTCAAAGTAAATAACTCTCGGTACATACCAGCGGGCAGTTAAATTTTTGAAACGATGAGTGTCCTTTCCCGGTTTTGGCATAGTGATTACCACTCCCTCGTCTTGGTAGCACATTTCCTGGTGCCTTTGTAGTGTATCGATGGATGAACATGTATGGAAGCATTTGCGGCAAATTTGGTTTCGGTCTCGGTGTAGTTTTCCACGCACATATTCCACCACCCTCATCAAATCAGTGATCAGCACATAGTGATGAGTCTGTCCGTTGCTGAGTAGTAGTAGGTCAACACATAGATCACTTGAGTATTTGCTGGACACTCTCAAAGGTAGCAATTCACCTTCTTTGTACCTAATGAAAACAAACAATTGAGTGCTCGGGTTTCTGGATGAACGTAATGTGTTATACATGATTAAACAAATGTTTTGTCAAAAAAAAAATCAATGCTCACCGGAATACATTGACTTGACAGTTGTTAAGTTGTTCAAATCGGTCAATATCATATAGTCCCATTGGCATCTCGTACCAGCCTTCAATTTTCACAACATGTTCTTGGGAGAGCTTGTAATTTTTCAGTTTGTTTCGATGTTGGTAGCTTTGGGCAGCAGGATAAAGAGCAGTTGTGGTCTCTGAATATCGATCATGGTACGCGGCCACAAAGCAGTATAGAAAGCACTTCTGATCGTTTCTCGTTTTAATGTTGGTGAAACTCTGTTTCACCGGTTTCAATGAATCGGGAAGGTCAATGTATGAGCCAGCACGGATAGGAGAAAATGCTGCAAAACTTACAGCCAGCTTTTCAATGCGCTTCACAATCCAACCGCTACCATGGGAAGCGAACGTGTTGATGGCATTGACCATATGCCCAATCATTTCCAAATATGTCTCTTTCTCGATTCCATTGAAGAAGACATTGATCATCTTAGAATTCAGATATAACATGGTCTTCTCGTGGCGTAACTCCCCGTCACCAGTTTCGTTTGTATCGCTCGAGAACTTAATCATACTCACGTCCACATGCAGTTGAAATTTACAGGGTCCTTCCTGCACTCTTTCGTCTATCAACGCATCAATTTCCTCTTTGTTTCGCATGATTACATTCATCAGATCCAATTCATCCTCCTTAACGCTCAACTCGTATCGTCTTAACTTTCCCCTAAACGCAGATTCAGTTGGAGCAGATGATGTTCCCACCTCATTTCCGGGAGTCCAAATGGATAGTTGATGGTTTTTCGACATATGTTGCCGGAACTTCTCAACGGAGAGGAAGATTGTATGACAGTAGATACAAAGACTATCAGTTGAGACGTTGTGAGCTAGCTCGACATGTTCCCTAGCTTCTGCCAGCGAGCTGAAGGATTCTCGACATTCGTCACATTTAGTTGGTGGCGGTGGGGCTGCGAATATCTTATGGATATTTTGTTCATGTCGTCTCAAGTTCCTTGGTGAACTAAAGACTTTCGAGCAGGTCGAACAAATGACTGGTGTCTGTTTTCCACTTGAGTTAGGCATTGTTGGTTCAAGATTGAGTGTTCAGGAAAGAAGAATTCTTTTCAAGAAATTTTTCAAGTTTTACCAAAGCTGATTTCGACAAAGCAAAAGCGAGAAGTGAAAAGTTTTTCAAAAACAAAATTTGGATCAAGACTCAATTAATTAAATTCAATTACGTGGGTGAAGCATAAAATCAACAGTGGCTTTAAAGTGGTTGTAGTTTTGGGGCTTTATGTGGTTTTATGAAATGACTGTCAATTCGATATTGGGTAAATGACTCAACTGTATTAAACAGCATAAATACTTGTGGTTAGAGTAGCTGACAATTCCATAAAGGGATCAACCCGGGAATGTTATTTCTTTTACCTAAAGTGTGTGAATGTTAACACCCACTGCTATTATCAACTTCCCTATTTAGTCAACTTGACTAAATATTGAAAATAAATTTGAATTTTTTTGCCAAGTTTTTTTGTTTCAACCAAAATGGTAACCCACCAATCAAGTCAAGCAAGGAAGACCCACCAATCAAGTCAAGTCGAACATACCTGACAAAAATGATAAAGGGTAGTTGAGAATTTTGTTCATTTCTCAAATAAATTAGTATTCTATGACAAATTTCACATATAGTTCATCAAAAGATTGATGCAGGGCCGTTTGGTACAGTAGGCAATAACTACCCGGCAGTGCTATTCATTAGGAACCTCTGAAACGCTTGCCCCACTAAAATGTCGGTTCAAAAATTTGAGATATTTCTTTTTTAGTACATATTCTTGTAGTGAAAAAAAAACAAAAATTACCAAAAAACTTTTTTGTCTCCAAATCCAATGAAACCTGGTCCAATCAATTTGTCGTGATTTATTGGACAGGGTTGTAACCCATGTTAAAAAATCGAGAAAAAAAAACATATTTTGAATTTTTTAACCATTTTAACCTGAAAATGAGTATTATTAAACGTGAAATCTGTTATAGACATGTAATTTTATTATATATAATGCTTTATACTGGCTCATACACTCTCTAAAGTCTACTCCTAAGAGTCCTGGCTAACCCCACCAGGCTGTAGACATATTAGAGAGAGAGAGAAAAAAAAACAAAAACAGAGAGTGTAAAGAGCCAAAAGTAACTATGGTTGATTAACCGGCAGAATTGCTGGACCCATCCATAAATAGCTTTCTTTTGAAAAAGCTATATCCCAAAAGGGATAATAATGGGGTTTATGGATCGTCAGTTCTCTCTCTCTCTCTTTATCTTTTTCTGTGTTAATATTTATATTTTGAAAACTATTATGAAAAAACATAACAAAAACATTTTTATGTTTTTTGTTTCAACATCATTAGATAAAATCTTAGGAAGAGTATTCAGTTTATTTTTTTTTGATTTTTCGAAATGAGCATTAAAAAAACTGATATAATTAAGTTGGATTTGACGAGAAATTTATCAAAATTTATACTTTTAGACTTTTATGCCGACTTTTTAAAGTTATTTTGATTTTTTTTTTATTAATTTTTTCTGTTGTTTTTATTTCCTTTCTATTGATTGAAAATCACAAAGCAAACTTTAAATTAGAAAAAAATCATAAGCAAAACGTAAACAAAGATTCAGCCACAATAATAAAAACTTATCAAACTAAATAATAAACCCCCAAACTGGTGCACTCTCGGTGGAAACAAAGTTTTTTTTGAGTTTTCAGAGATCTCTAAATTGCAGTTTGCGTTTTTTCGGCGCAAAGCAAGCATTGATAGGAGGCGTCTCAGCCACTAAGTTTGGTGCAGTGGGACTTTGACTGCCGGAAGAAGAAGTAGAAGAAGTATGCTGCTGCTGTTGTTGAGTGATTGAAAAAATATCCGGTTTTATTGGGGTTTTGGGCGTCTGCTGGTCCTCATCTTTTTTCTCTGTTGAATCTGGTGATTCAATCGACTCAATGTTCCAGTAGCTTTCTCGCTCTGCTAAATCTCTAATGGATCCTTCCTGATTTTCGTAAAAGGGGATCGATTGGCAATCATAGTTAAACAGTATTTTTCTCGGTGAACGATCAAGGCAAGTAGGGTCTTGAATATCTGTGCGCTTCAGCGCAGGATACGATTCAGTCACACAGCAACTCTCGTAGACCTGTTTTCTGTTTTGTATGAGGATACCAATTTGATCTAGCAAATAGTTGGGTAACATCATATGGTTTTTAGTGACCCATTCATCGAATTCTCTGCTTCCTGGATCAAGATCGTTGAAAGGACTTGTTTTTCGATGACGCATTTTCCGTT